GGAGCAGCTGGGCGGTGGGGCGTGGACAGTGCCCATGGGAGATGGTGACACAGATGGGAGGAAGGTGTTGCTGGCAATGAGACAGGAGCATCTCGGGGAAAGATGGTGCGTGAGTCCTCAGGGCGGGCGGGGACGGGACGGGAAGCAGCCCTGCCTCCACGCACCTCAGTAGCGAGATGGGGCTCTCCTCCTTTCAGGACGGCCAGTCGCGGACCGTTCGGCAGTTCCAGTTCACGGACTGGCCAGAGCAGGGCGTGCCCAAGTCGGGGGAGGGCTTCATTGACTTCATCGGCCAAGTGCACAAGACCAAGGAGCAGTTCGGCCAGGACGGCCCCATCTCCGTCCACTGCAGGTGCGCTGCTCCCTGAGCCCCGCCCACCTTCTGGCCGGGGAAACTGAGGCCCGAGGAGGCTAACCATCAGCCTCGGGCGGTCCAGTCTGAGCTATTTCCGTGCCTGGGGGGCCGGGGGCCCCCGCGCCCCTGCCCCTGAGCTGCCCTTTCCCCCACAGTGCCGGCGTGGGCAGGACGGGCGTCTTCATCACGCTCAGCATCGTGCTGGAGCGGATGCGGTACGAGGGCGTGGTGGACATCTTCCAGACGGTGAAGATGCTGCGGACCCAGAGGCCGGCCATGGTGCAGACCGAGGTGAGACAGGGGCGGGGAGGCGCCCCGGCTGGAAGCTCTGTCTCCCAAGCCTCAGTTTCCTCCTCTGTGAGGTGGGCTCGTTGTGAATGGGCGGCCCTCAATGCCTCCCGCTTTGGGCTGGAAGGGGCTAGTCAAGTCTCGACACAAAAGTCCAGAGCCAAGGAGTGTCCCCTGGAGTGGACGCAGAGGGGCCCACTCTAGTCCCAGAGTCGCAGCAAGTTCATGGCTCAGCCAGGACGGGCACGGATTCTGAGATCCCACCGCTCCCCGACCGGGAGACTGAGCCCTCGCGTGGGGAGGGTCTTCCCTGTGACCGCACTCCCGTTGGGTCTTTTCACAATGTCCCCAAACCCTCTGGAGAGACGGGCAGAGTCTGACTCCCAGCCTGAAGGAGCGGGCGGCTGGGGCGGCTGAGCAACCAAGTCTTAAAGGATGTACATGACCTCCAGGCGGAGACGGGGGAGGGCGTTCGGGTGGAGAGTCAGCCCATACAAGGGGCACACGCCAGGCTGAGGAGGGTGGCGGCCCTGGGGCCCGGGGGCGCCCGGGGAGGTGTCGGAGCAGGAGAGCCCTGACTGAGCCCGTTCCCCCCGCAGGACGAGTACCAGTTCTGTTACCAGGCCGCCCTGGAGTACCTGGGAAGCTTTGACCACTATGCAACCTATTCCTCGTTCCTTCCGATTCCAAAATGAGCAGTTCCGGGGTGGGGGGTGGGGGGTGGTGAGCCAATGGGGGTTCTCCCCAGAACCAGAGGAGGGCAGGGGCCACGAACTTGACCCCTCGTCCCCCCCAGGGAGCCTCCCAGCCCTGCACTCCGGGGGCGCCGGGCTGGGAGGGCAGAATTCAGCTTTCTTTTCTCCGTGTAACTATCCAGTGACATTTTCTTTTTTTTTAAATAGCGTATTTTTTTTCCCATTTTTTTTTAAAAAGAAGAAACAAACTGAAAAAAAGAAGTGACTTGCAGTCGATGGATTTAAAAAGAAAAACCTTCTTATTCCTGTTACCTTCACAGTCTGTTTTTCACGGTAGGAAGCGTTCTTGTGTGGCGGCTGCGCCCGCCAGCCGGCCTCGGGGGCTTCTTCCTCTCTCCCGCCGTCAGGAGCCCCACCTCACTCGAGAATAGGACGGCCTTTCGCTCCTGGTTTTTTTTCCTTTTTTTTTCTCTCTCTTTTTGTTTAATGATTAAATTCTCAGACATATCAAGGACAGTTCTGAGGGTGGGCGGTGGAGGGGTGGGCACTGCAGCCCGAACTCCCACCCCTCGCCCCGAGGAGGAGGAACGAACAGAACGGGAGGTCCTGCCTTTTCGGGGACAGGGAGGCTGCGTGCTGCCCCCGTTCAGGGAGCCTTCCCCCCCGGGACTCCGGGGCAGTTTTGGGGCAAAAGCAGGAAGGACAGTATCCCCCACCCCTGAGCGAGCGAGCTTTCCTCTTTGTACCAGAGCAGGTCTGTCGCTGCTCTCGACACTGTTTATTCAAACGGAAGCAGCTGGGTGGTTTCCCACCTTGTGTATGTAGATATATCGACTTTGTATTAAAGGAAGATCGTCTGAACTCGGCCGTGGGTGGCATCTTTGTCGTGCCCCCGTCTGTCCTATCTTGTCCCAGGGCGGGCCGGGGCCTGGGAAGCTGTATTCTCATTCCGTCGTGTGACAGTCCAGTGAGGGGCGGGGCCCAGAGAGGTGGTGTTGCTGGTCCAAGATGACACAGTGTGTAAGGGGCGGGATTTGAACCTAGAATCCACGTTCTGGTCTTACAGGGCGGCCTCCTTGGTAATAGTTATTCTTGTTGATTATAGTGTGATGACCATTGAGCACCTACCAGGAGCCAGTTCTCTGAGATGGGCAGCATCAGCCCAGTTTACAGATGGGGAGACTGAGGCTCAGAGAGGGGCAGGCACTCACCCAGAGTCACACACACAGAAGCTGGAGCTGGGGTTCAGGGTCTGGTCAGTCTCATCTGCAGCCACGCTGCCTTCTCCAGAAGGGCCGGTGATGGAGCTGAGCCCACGGAAGGCAGCACTGGGTTAGGAGCACTATTCTTAGCCGGTGAGTGGGCCCATCCTCAGGGTCAGGCCCGGGGGATGCAGGGGGAACCATTCCCTGTCTATACCTTGACTAGAAGCCAGAGATGGGATGAAAGACACGCCCCACCCCCCCCCGCCCGCCCCCTCCGGTCACACACAAGCTCCAGGGATGAGAAGGGTGGTCTTAGTGAGGACGGGTCCAGGCTAGGAAAGGGTGGGTCATCCCTTTAAGAAACCATCAGGTCCCGTATTCAAAAATATGTATATAAAAGATGTGACACCACCATTCATAAACTTAGTCAAATAGATTGATCAAATTCCATATTCCCCAAATTCTCAAATATTCATGGACCATCTATGAAAAATCAGCATTTAGAAAAACCAGCAGTGGACTCTGTTTTTGTTTTTTATCCTTACCCAAGGACTGTGGTTGGCAAACTGCGGTTCGCGAGCCACGTGCAGCTCTTTGGCCCCTTGAGTGTGGCTCTTCCACAAAATACCGCCACACTCAAGGGGCCAAAGAGCCGCATGTGGCTCGTGAGCTGCGGTTTGCCGAGCCACAAGTTTGCCGACCACTGCCCAAGGACATGGGTAAGGATATTTTTAGAGATCGGAAAGAAGAGAGAAATATCAGTGTGAGAGAGAGACATCAATTGGCTGCCTCCTGCATGCACCCCGACGGGATCGAATCCACAACCTGGGCATGTGCCCTGACTGGGAATCTGAACCTGCAACCTTTCAATACACTGGACAGTGCTCCAACCAACTGAGCCACCTGGCCAGGGCAGCAGTGGACATCTTTACAAATTCCAAAAAACAAATATTAACTAAGATAACCTGATCTTGGCACCAAGGAGTAGATTATGTAATTAAAGTCTGCCTCCCCCAAAAGACCCAATGCGGGAAATCTTAACACATTGTATGCGGGAAACATATTTATACGTTCTACCAGTGTAGTAGAGCACAGGACACGTATTAATACGTTTTTTATAGACTAGCGGTAGAATGCAGGTAACGTATAAATACGTAAACTAAAGTTATTGTAATTTTACTGAACGTTGTCATTTGCACAAAAAATTAGCAAAAATGGCCTACGCCACCTGTTAGCGTGCGATCAAAACTACCCGCAAACAATGTGTTAAAGCATTTCTAAATGAAGCATGGGCTTAAAGAAAGAACACAAAGGAGTGTATTATGTAATGAAACTTTTGGAGTGCAGCCAAAGAGGTGCCCAGAGGAAAATGTATAGCCTTGAACACATGGTTCAGAAAACAATAAATTCAGAAACTTAGTGAACTTAAAAAACAAATGTTCCAAGCTTTCAATTCGAATAACTAGGGAGTAATAGAAAAAATCCTAATAAAAAATGAAAGTGAAAATTAACTGGGAATTTTTGAGGTACTTTTGTATTAACAAAAAACATTTAGCTCCTGACTTCTGAATTCACTTTTCTTGGTCACAGGTTGTGTGGCAAAATGGACAGGAAAGTCAGACTCTTACCTAAGTTTGGTCCCAGCCAAATCATCTGAGATGATTACTCTGTCCAGATTAATGAGATGATTACTCCCACTCCATCCTTAAAGCCCCATTCTAAAAGCCCCTCTGGTCTCCCGAGCCCACGACTCTGAAGTGTCTAAATCGGACATACCTCGCCCTTCTTACTGGAAACTGGACAAAGAGGATCTTCAGGGAAAATTAATGTGTGTGACCCTCAGTTCTGTGGTTCAGCCCTTGAGATGCTCATGGCTGCGGTGAAAGGTGGTGGCGGGCAGGAATCTATCTGAGGGCTTCCTGGAAGAGGAGGACCCTTGGGAATTGTCTTAACCTACAGGCATGATCACCAAGACACTAAATATCTCCAGATATCTTGGCCCTACCACAGGAGACCATAACATGCACCCCCATTTATTGAGCACTGATTGCATACTGGCCACAATATAACTATGCAATATCATTATAAATCCTTCTGATAATGGACAGATAAGAAAACAGGCGCTAAGAGGTCAGGTCTCTTACCCAAGAGGATGCAGATGGTAAGTAGTAGAGTTGGACATGGGTCCAGGTGTGCCCATTTGCCATGGTCATAGTGAAGGAGTTCAAGGCATCTATGAGCCCTGCCTGCCCACGGTCAGTATCAGCCACATACACCACAGCCCCCAGGCTGGGAGGGACGGAGCCCACCTCTCATCGCCATGGATCTGGCAGGGGCCACAGCACTGTAGTGCTCTGTTACATGCAGATGCCCTAAATACACACTTTAACAACAACAATTAAAAATGTTTAAAGCAAGGAGGAATGGAAAGAGTCACAGTGGTGCTAGAGATGGAACCTAACTCAGGAACAGAAAGATCAAGTCCTCAAAATAAGGATCTTGATGAATAATGTAATAGCAAACCTGATCAAATAGGTATGTACAGGACTTTATGCCCAACAAATAAATAATGTACATTCTGCCCAAACACAGAGCCATCATGAAAACAGAACATGTATTAGGTCATAAAGGGAAACTCAACAATCAGATTTAATAGCCACAATGCAATCATTTATAATCCTATATAATAAAGAGCTAATATGCTAATTAGACTGGACAGCAGAACGGCCAGTGGGCGGGGCCGTGAGGCAGCCGGGGCTGCGAGGGCTGAGCCCCTTGCACGAATTTCTTGCATCAGGCCTCTAGGAAAATTATAAATCGCTGACATCTAGCTCCTGGGATCCACATAATTGCAAGTATTAAAACAAGTAATGAATTAAAGATAAATTATGTAAGTTATAAAGTATTTAAAGCTGAATGAGGAGTCTGCTGCCAATAAAAGACAGTGCGATGCAACCAAAGATGTACTCAGAGGTATAAAGTCAACTGCTTTTATGGGGGGAGGAAGATCACAGAATATAAATGAAATAAGCAGCCACAGAAGTACTCAGAGGCAAATAGATAGCCTTGTGTGAATTTATGAGGAAAATACCTGAAAATAAACTAAAGCTTTTCAACTAAACGTATACAAAAAGAACAAACCCAAGGTAAGTCAAGGGAAAATATTAATAAGACAGCCAGAAATCAATAGATGGGAAACTATGGCAGCCACAAGAAAATAACTAAAAAGCCGAATCTTTAGGAACACCCATAAAAGAGGCAGACCTTCGGCAGGAAGAAAGAGGACACAAACAATATTAGGGATGAGGGGACCAACTACTCTTACAGAGGAGAGATTTTAAAGGGTGTGCATACCACTAAAGCTGTAAAAGGATAAAATGGGGGAAAAATTTAAGAAATCAAAATTAAGTCATTTAACAGTGAATAATCTTAGAAATTATTGAAATGATGGTCAAGGATTCATCCCCCCAGCAAAACACCTTCACAGATGGTTTTCCAGGTGAGTTTTGCCAAATCTTCAATGAAGAAATGATTTGCATCTTTTACAAACTGTCGGCTTAGAGGGGGAATAGGTAGGACTCTGTACGGGACAACCTGCGGTGGGAGTAGCGCAGCCCTCTTCCGTGTCAAGGAGCGAAAAGGCTTCGAAAATACCCACTATGCAAATCCAGCATCTTAAAAGAACAGGATGTTAGAACACAATAGGGAAGGAATTCTGGAATGCAAGAACAGTGTAACATTAGAAAACCTACGCAAGTCAGA